AAGTTGTCACACATTCAATTAAAAATTATTCGGCTTGAAAAAATTAGCCTGAAGTAATGTCTAATCACTAATGTCTTATATGTTATATCTACTATATATAATCTCTCTCATAAAATTAGTGTGATGTAATATTTAATGTTTTGTATTATTCATACATATTTTTGTAGATATACACCAATTCATTTGTCCAACTGTTGTATAAATTATCATATTATAAATAGATCAATCTTAGATTTCCATTTAAGTTCCAGCGGCACCAGTTCCTTCTGATTTTGGGGTTCCATTTAACAGTCATGGTCAGTCTTTTTGTATAAAAAATATAGAATTATTAGTGAATATTATATAGCTAATCAAGTATAATAGATATTAATCTAACAACTCATTGTCTGGCTGCCTAAGTAATTTATCATATTATAAAAAGATACATCTTAGGATTTCATTTAAGTTCTAGAGCACCGGTTACTTCTAATCTTAGGGTTTCATTTAAGATCAGGGTCAGTCTTTATGTGTGTTGGCATAATATTAAAGAAATTGGTTTTTAGCAACGATCGATTATATGTTGTTGTTTTTACGTGTAAGTAATAAATAAGAGATGTGCATTGCCATATTCTTAAAAAAAAAATCTTTTTTTTGATCACGACCAATTGTATATTATTACGCATGTAAGTAATAGGTCAAGAAGAATCAAGGTCAACATTTATTGTATGTTGGCATGTTAAGTAATAGATCTAGAAGAGTCAATGTCAACATTTATTGTACATTGGCATGTTCTTATGAAAATCAATTTTTAGTCACGAACAATTATGTTGTTTGTTGCGTGTAAATAATAGAAAAGTGTTGAAAATATTAGTTTGTGAGGACGACGGGTTGCTCAGTTATTGAACAATAATGTTGTGTACAAGAAAGTTTAAATAATATATTTTTTTTCATGAGAAACATTTTATTGTTTAATAATTTTTCTACGAATTATCGCTCTTTTATTTATTAATACATTATAATTTTTAATATTTTCCAAAGTAAATACAGCCCGTGCATCGCACGGGTTACATACTAATATTTTCTAAGTGAACTTATGCATATGGCTTTCACAAATCACAACTCCATAGAGCTCATTTTTCACATGCATATAAGCACAATATAACTGAATGCACGGGTTACATACTAGTATTTTCTAAGTGAACTTATGCATATCGCTTTCACAAATCACAACTCCATAGAGCTCATTTTTCACATGCATATAAGCACAATATAACTGAATCCTACATCTTTTATTTATTCACAAGATATCAGTCAAGTGCATTACAAAATTTGCTTACATAATTAGTTACAGTGAGAGCATTGATTCACAACATCAACTTTTTCCCCAACATATTACATGAAAAAAAAAAAAAAAAAAATGGATACTACGGCTTTATTACCATTGGATCACACACACATGCACTCATGGGCCTGTCCGGACTTCATATTAATTGAGCTCATACCCGAACGGGAAAACCGGGCCGTCATGCGGGCCCCCACTATTCACCGAACATTTCCCCACATTCTCGAGCCCGTGAAACCGTAGCCAGTCCGGCCCCCTTGCATTAATCCTCTAGAGATAGGGCTCGATCACAATCGGGTGGCGCGAAATTAAAAAATGACCTATGCACTCGTCACTTCGCGTGCGAGAACTTTTCGGATTTCAGGTACTCAGTTTCCGGGTCCTTCCGGAAGGACACGGCAGTCAATGAGTTTGGCAGCAGAAAAAGATATTATCAAAATTATGCAGAATTCAACAGTTACTAATGATACATTTGGTGCAATTTGGCAGACCTCATATAGTCAAATATCCCCAAAAATGCAATGTTATGTACAGACATTATATGTTATATGGTACAGATAAAAAAACAGTAGAACAATTTCAAATCTTGATCCTATGTGCACATGTAGTTAAAGAGAATTAAGTTACTGAAAGCCTGAAAACTTATAACATAGTACATAAATTTGTAAATAGAAAATCACACACACACACACACACAACTGACTGTGCAAAAGACCACAACTATACTATAAAACTTATGATATGCTTATGCCTATGTCTGAAATACCATTACTAGAGGAAAAAGAAATGATGCAACTTGGAAAAACAGGAAGACAAAAGAACCGTATACCCGGAGATGTATGGCAAGGATCGCACAATCGTGTAGCTGGAGTACGTTATAATGAACTGAAATAATCATCATCACCTGCTGAAAAACATTTTCAGCAGATCACGAAAGTTAGGTCGTGTTTTGGGAGTAAGAAACCGAGGCGTGAGGAATGAAGCCTGGTCCGAGATCCACCGGCGGAATAATACGTGCACCGGAAAAATGGATCTTGGAACAGCCTCCACTCCAAACACCCCCTTTCTCTCTCTAAGTCCACTCATGTGAAACTGCTGTATACTCAAACATGTCTATCTCTCTCTCTCTCTCTCTCTCTCTCTCCCTCTCTCTCTCTATCTCTCTACATGATTGAGCAATCAAAGCCATACATATATATATACAAATAGTTTCAGTGCCAGACAAAGCTGCAGGGCAGTAAATCTCAGAAATCTTGATGATGTGTAAAATAAATAATGTACCAATTATCAAGCACTGATAACATGAGAAAACCTGTATTATTTGACATTGCAAAAAAATATATGAGACATGCATTAGTGGGTGAGGTAAATAACAAAAAAATTAGGGGAAACAATAAAGGGAGAATAAAAAAAAAA